TAAGAGGAAAATTGTGCTAAATTCAAATCTGTCCTTTGGTCTGTATCTGCAAAAAAAATTGTTAAGACATAAACATGGCTCATTTGAAGGGTCTCTTTGTGCTTTTTTAGATAAACAAAAAATCAAAATATTGAAAAAATCTGTGATAAGACCCCTTTTCTTGTGGCCTGGCTCATATGTATAACAGATGTGAAAAATATTAAAATTGCATCTAATTTAAAGATTGTGAAAAAAATTCTCCCCTACCCAGATATTTCAGGGGGGTCAAATGAAAACGGACTTTAATTCATAACTTTGGAAGTATATGAGGTATAAACCTATTTTTTCACCAAAATTTATTAAATAACATCAGTAATTCAGAAAAATGCAAATTAGCTAATTTGCATAATTTAACCCTTATACAGTAATGACTTAGATAAAAAAAACTGAATTGTCTAACTTTTTTGAACACTAAGTGTTTAGTTTATTTTATGAATACTAAAGTTACAGCGCTTCAAAGTCAATTTTGAGAATAATTTTTCGCCTCTTGTGTTATTTCAATGGGAGAGTTTTTTTGAAAAACAACTTTGACTTTAAAGCCCTATAACTTTGTTGAACCTGAAGAAACATATCAATTTTTTGTTAAATAAAGTTAGCAAATTCAATTGCCTGTCTAACTCGTATTTTTTGCAAGGACTCGGATGGATGGATATTCTGTCATATGACTTGCGGCAAACCTACCATTTCTAATTGGTTAACATGGGAATGTCGATTTTCAAAAATTCATCAAATTTATCATCAATTTTCGACCTATTGTAATTGAGGAAAAAAATTGAGAAAATTTGGAGGTATTGGAATTAAAGTCAAATTATGTTTCCATCAATAGTATAAGTATTTTCATCGCAGGTTAAGTAAATAGTAGTTCAATGGGGGAAAAAAGGTTGCCAAACTTATGGAGGGGAGTGTAGGTTTAAGTATATGCATTGTGGCCATTTGAGGTATGTATGTAAAGCTGAGGCCAAGTACTTTCAAAATGTGCCATTTTTAGAAAAAGATAGCAAGAATATAGTCCCGTAAACTGGAACTACTTTATTTGTTAATCTTCATCGGTGAAGCAGGAGGAGGAATTCTTGACAAATCCTGACTCTTTCTGCTTTCTGCTCTCCTGTAAGAAGTCGGGGTACCCAACGTGCGCTAACACGAGTCATAGATAGCTCTTGGGTTAGAATCTTTTGAACTGATGAATATTTGAGTCCAGACATAATACAAAGTTCAGTGATAGTGTGTCTACCATCCATAGATATCATATCTTCAATAAGTTTGATGTTTTCTGGAATCACGGTATCAGCTTTGCGACCACATCTGGGAGCATCAAAAACAGTGTGGTTTCCATTATCTTTAAATGTAGAATGCCACCTGTAAACAGTTGACCGTTTCACATTTTCCTGTCCATACACCTCATGTAGGCCCCTTAAGGTGTCTAGTGCTGGAATACCTCTGATTGCATTGTATTTTATAACAGATCTTATGTTAACATTGAGTTCTTTGGAATTCATCCCTATTTTAGCCAATTTTGCTCCAGCCTAAAGTACTGCAAAATGGCCGTGTGTCTGATGTCACAGCCATGTGTGACATCATGTACTAGAGATGACATCATAATTGGTTGTGTTGTCATAACAACCAACTCAGGGCACTGTGTAAACAAAATTTGAAAAGAAACTGTCATTTTGTAAAAAATTACATAGTAAAAAGTGCCCTTGTTTCTGGTAATTTTTTAGCTGCTCCAACAACCCCTAGCAACCGTTGCCATGGTAACCGCTGTTGCTAGGTATCTATGAAAATAAATTGATGAGTGTGTTCATTCAATACCCTATTCCCAAGGGCATATACCTACCAAGTTTTATTGCAATTGAATGAATATAAGATGCTGCCTCAAAAAAGTCTCACTAATTAATGATACCCCCTCGTACAGGGCGTATAAAAAACACAACAAGTAGTTATCTCGTAAAATCACAAAACTAGTGATAACTACATCAATCAATCATCCAATGTACCATAAAGCCACGTCTCTCCTCTTTGCAATGATATGTCATTCATTTACATGTCGTAACGGTTGGGTGAGAAATCCTTCCATTTGCAAAGTGGGTCAAAATTGACTCTGGACCAAGTTTTAGATATTGCGAAAAATCAGTGCAAGGGCTAAGTGCCAATGGAAGTTCCCCTGACTTGAATTGTTGTGACTTTTTATATGGAGCTATCTCGGGAGCATCTGTGCTCACAATTCCTCTACCAGATATTGCAAAACCTCGAGAAAGAATTGCCTTTGGGTTGGTTTTCTCTGCTTTAACCCACAGACGACTCAGGGCTTAACCATGCATGACGTGGACAGATGAGTGCATCTTTATTTGCAAGGAAGTGGTGGCAATTTGGAGGGGTATAGGATGTATTATTGCAAGAGTATGAGTATTAACACTTTACTGTCTATGCCACACCTGTCATACCCTCTTCCATTAGCCCCTATGCCCCTTGTACTGACTTTTGCAATGTTTAAAACTTGAGTCCGAGCTGAATTTTGCCCCACTTTGCAAAATTAATGATTATTCGGCCAGCCATGACTCCCTATAAATGAATGATATTCCATTGCAAAGAGGAGTAATTTGGCTTTTTGGTACATTGAATGAAAAGGATGCAGCCAGCATTGGTTTTATGTTTTTTCCGGTATTGCATCGGACTCTGTACACTGAATTTTGCTTATTTTGGCCCACTTTGCAAATGGAATGATTATTCACCCAACCATGACCAAATATCAACGAATGATATATCATTGTAAAGAGGAGACAAGTGGCTTTATGGTGCATTGAATGAAATCAATGCTGTTATCACCGGTTTTGCGCTTTTCCGAGATAAAAATCTGTTGCGTTTTTTTGATACGCACTGTATACGATCACTAATGCCTTGGTCACATTTGCTCCAATTTTCACTGCGGCGCCCGGCCGATTGAGTATTTTGTTCAAAATTGAATACAATATTGAACAAAACACTCAATCGGCCGGGCGCCGGCCGATGGATCGGAGCATATGTGACCCAGGCATTATTTGAAAAAGTTGTTTATCATCTTAGAACCGTAACAAAGACAGCTATTATATGATTAGTGGCAAATATAGTACCTCAGATTTTATTCTAGCCATTACTATATTGGTACGTGTAGGTGTGAAATCATGTTTATTCAGCAACATTTCATTTCTTCAACATTACATTTTTCGGATTCGACATTTTACTTAAGAGTTCGCGTTTTAATTGAGAAATATAGACCGAAAAGCAGGGGTAATATCGTCGAATACATCCCACAGGGCTAGGCACAAACGTTTTCTGTGCCTTTTTGTGCTTTTGTGCCTAGCTTTTGTGCCTAGCCCCAAGGGGTATATTCGACGATATTACCCCTGCTCTGAGGTCTATATTACGATTCGAATATGAAAACTCACCAAATTGTTTCGAATATTCATCATGGTCCGCTATTACTACGACCCACCGTTATAACGTCACACATTACACGTATTTACTGGGGTATTGATCGCGAATATAACCCAGGTGAAATGTAGACTTTGTTTACAGTTTATAGAAGGCGTGGATACAGCCATGTTCGAACTATTCTTACATACTAGTATTGTTTACCATAGGAACTGCATTTTTGCAAACGTAACACATCAGCTTACACTTCACTGTTAATTTATATCTTTATAAATATGCACATCGTATAAACGTATCTTATTCTAGATATTTAAAATATCAAAGACACAACCAATTTCAAGGAATTACACTCAACCAATGATAAAACGCGGAGGCACAAACCTTGTATAATAAGTATCTTTTTGTGACGTAGTCTTGTTAATGTTGTGTCTTGTTTACTTTTCAGAGTGTCCTCCCGCAACATGTTTCAGAAATGGGAAATGTTATTGGCCAATTGGCGGAAGGCGATACCAATGCAAAGTTTTACCTAATGGACCTGTCGAAAGTAAACAATGCCCATATTGCCAAGTGTTTGATGTGGAGAAATGTGATTGCGTTGACGTTGGTAAATGATAATTATTGCATATCTAGTTATTTTTAGATTGTGAAAATGCTCTCGTTTGTGACAACTTTTTGAAAGGAGGAGGGAAATTAGTGCCACAGATTTTGGATTCAGGGGTTTTAAAGATACCCATTATGGGTGACCAAACTTGGCTGAAAGCAATGATTTTTCCCTATGGGAAAATAACATGGGAAATATTGTTTTCCACTTTATCTACAAGGAATCATTTATTCCTTTTAAGGGATTAACTATGTGTCAAAACGCAACATATTGATGCAAGAAAAATTAAAAAAGCAGGGATGGAAGGGGTTTAAAATCAGTAAAACATTTCAGATGAAACATGTGGGTGGGTTGTTTGCATCTACCCTGTCTCAAAGTCGAAATTATTTTATCATCTCTAGAAGTGATTTTCCTGGAGGTTATGCATTGGCCTAACATATGCACCTGTTTAAATCCCCAGGAAATGGCCAAAATCAAACATATGACTGTCCAAAATCTGTTGCGCTAATTTCCTTATCTTATCATCATCATTATTATCATCATTATCTTATGGAATACGCGGTCATTATTAAAAATTACAGTGTACACTTTTCATATAGCTGATCATGAGAAGTTTCACATTACATACTTTACTCCAGTTTTTCACTCTTAATTATTAAGATATCTCAAAATCAATTACTTAAAAGAAAGAAATTGAGAATATTCTAAGATAGTTTTTTAAAACTAAAATCACGCATTTCTAAATTTTAAATATTTCAATAAACCAATTTACTTATTAATTATTTCAAAATATAACTTTATTCCATTAATATTATTGTAGAAATTCAATGTAAAGCGGTTCAAGCTCCTCATAACGGTTACATTGTATACGCTGACAGGAATTGTGATGGCAGAACTACATTTGCCTGTAACGAGGGATATAAACTTGTTGGATATGCTGAGATTAAATGTTTGGAGAATGGTCAATACAATTACAATCCACCAAAATGTGTCCTAGGTACAATTTAACATTATTTACGAAATAAAGAACATTTTTCTAAATGATGCAGTGATAAGTGCCATCTTCCTTAAATACTCATTAAGATGCACTTGGATCATTTTTCACATTCCACATTAAAAATATTTATAATGTAACTTAGCATTACGCATAAATATTGATATATGAAGTTCTTGTAAAATGTTTTTCATATGGTAACATTTCATTATTTCAACATTTAATTTTTCTGATTCGACATTTAACTTAAGAATTCGCCTTCTTACATACAAGCATTGTTAACCATAGGAACTGCATCTTTACAAACGTATTGCGCCAGCGTATGCACATTATATTTAAGACATTCTAAATTATTAGAATATCAAAACCAGAACCAATTTCAAGGAACGACATCCAATTAACGATAAAACGCGGGAGCACAAACCTGTTATAATTAATATATTTTTGTGACGTAGTCTTGTTAATGTTGTGTCTTGTTCACTTTTCAGAGTGTCCTCCCGGAAAATGTTGCAAAAGTGGAAAATGGTATTGGCCAATTGGCGGAAGGGGATACCAATGCAAGGTTTTACCTAATGGACCTGTCGAAAGTAAACAATGTCCATATTGCCAAGTGTTTGATGTGGAGAAATGTGGTTGCGTTGACGTTGGTAAATGATAATAATTGCTATATCTAGTTATTTTTAGATTGTGAAAATGCTCTCGTTTGTGACAATTTTTTCAAATTTGTATTTCTTTTCCATCTTAATTAATAACGGCGCCATCGTAACTGCAATGTCATTGTAGGACATCATTATCTTATGGAATACGCGGTCATTATTATAAATTACAGTGAACACTTTCATATAGCTGATCATGAGAAGTTTCACATTACATACTTTACTCCAGTTTTTCACTCTTAATTATTAAGATATCTCAAAATCAATTACTTAAATGAAAGAAATTGAGCAATATTCTAAGATAGTTTTAAAACTAAAATCACGCATTTCTAAATTTTATATATTTCAATAAACCAATTTACTTATTGATTATTTCAAAATTTAACTTTATTCTAATATTTTTGTAGAAATACAATGTAAAGCGGTTCAAGCCCCAGATAACGGTTACATAGTATACGCTGACAGGAATTGTGATGGCAGAACTAAGTTTGCTTGTAACGTGGGATATAAACTTGTTGGATATGCTGAGATTAAGTGTTTGGAGAATGGACAATACAATTACAATCCACCAAAATGTGTTCCTGGTACAAAATAGCATTATCTAAACTATGAAGTACATTTTAACAAATGATGTAGAGAGACGTGATCACCTTAAATAGGCTTTTAGATACGCGTTTATCATTTTCACACTCTACACAGTGTACAATGTATCACGACGTTGAGCGCATAATTATGAAGAGTTCATGAAATTGTTTTTGTTTAGCAACATTTCATTATTAATCGTTTGATTGTGTGATTCGACATTGATATTGAGTTTAATAGTTTACATATTCCTTGCTTGCACTTCTCTTTTACCATATATCTTAGATTGACATTATTTTATTTTCAATTATTGGAATATGAATAACACAACGTTAAATCAAAGAACGACACACTTTTGCTATATATTATCCTACATAGATGTAATTTATTTTCTATTACTGGAATATCAAAAGACAACAAATGTTAAAGAAACGACACCCAACCAATGATAAAAGACTGACACAGAACCGTTAACATACTCAGTACCGGTTTGGTGATGTAGTCTCGTTAGTGTTGTGACTTGTTTACTTTCAGAGTGTCCCCCCGGAAAATGTTGCAAAAGTGGAAAATGGTATTGGCCAATTGGCGGAAGATACTATAAATGCAAAGTTCTACCTAATGGAAATGTTGAAAGTAAACAATGCCCATATTGCAAAGTGTTTAACGTGGAGAAATGTGACTGCATTGACGCTGGTAAATGAAAAATTGACCTCAACGAACACCTTTGACAAAGTGCTGGGAAGTTTCGCTATATAGTTGCTTGGACAGAACAAGTCATCCATCCACCTCTGTTTTCCTAATAACCCTTTAAATTCTCAATCATTTTTCATCAAATTTTCACTGGGGAAATCTTTAAAGGATTCCTAACATACAAAATTTCTTGTTAAGCTCACCATCAATTTTCATTATATTCGGCAAAAATACCAATTTTGCGTCTTTTCTCTGAAAATGATAAATGATCTTAGTTTTTTTATTGAATAAGTATGTCTTAATTCCTGTCAATTGATCATGATCATGTTTTCTTCTTGAGGCTTTTCACAATAAGACAGAAACAGTTTCATTTGTTACCTTATCTACACATAGTGTCAGTGCATTGACCTTATTTAAAATGCACATTGAATTTAGACTCAATAATTTAGGCTTACAGTATGTCTACCTCGAATACTTGTGAACAGTATTTATTGTCATTCTACTGTAAGACGCATGTCCCATGTTTTACTTGGACGCCAATTTGAGCATCATATCAAATGAATTGAACTAAATATGTCCCACTTGTGATATTTGCATACTAGCTTAATGGATTACTTCTTGAATTCTGACCCACTATGTCATCTATTTCTGTGCAGAAATTTCATGACCTACACAAATACTCGTATATTAAGACATAAAATTGAAATATTTAGGGTCAGAGGTAAGGAGCAGAATAGATTGCACAGCATTCTTTAATATATCAAACATAATTTTATTAACTTTTATTATTTCATTTTAATTAATAAACTAAGTTAATTGATAAAACACACATGTGTAAAAATTCATGTACACAAGCCAGTATATAAGCTAGCACTTAAAATATAACTATTTGAATTCAATTATTCAAAACAGAAAAATCATCCCTTAACACAAGTTGATCATTATTTTTCAAAAAGCTGTAATTATAATGAAAATTTATAATGAGTGCAGGAAAAGGTTTTGTATATTAGGAATGCTTTAAAGATTTTCCAGTAGAAACTTCATGAAAATTTTTTTAACTTGAAAAAGGTTATTAGGAAAACAGAGGTGGATGACTTGTGTTGTAAAGGACACTCTCGTGTTTACAAGTTTTTCTTGCTTAATTATTGAGATCTCATTAGTTTTTGTTAACTAAATTCACACATTCAATTCTAAATTTTACACTATTCAATATACAAATTTACTTGCTTGATCATTATTATCATCATTTTATTATTGTAGAGATACAGTGCTCATCGGTCCAAGCCCCTCAAAATGGATATGTTTCTAACTCTGACAGAAATTGTGGCGACAGAACTAAGTTTAATTGTAACGGGGGATATAAACTTGTTGGATATGCTGAGATTAAGTGTTTGGAGAATGGCCAATACAATTACAATCCGCCAAAATGTGTTCCCGGTACAGTGCTTTAGTAAAGAATAACATTTTTAAGATATGAAGTACATTTTACTAATGTTGTATTCAACTTGAATAAGCTTTTAGATACGCTTTGATCATTTGATCATGTGGATTTGTTCAAATTTGTGAATGGTGCTCGGGCGATTGCGGCATTATGCAGCTTCTAAAATAACAATATTTTGAAGAGAGTAAAAAATTATTCCGAAATGCCACATTAGACGGCCATTTTGAATTTAGGAGGCCTTAATCAGAAAAACGATACAATAATTGCATTTTACCCTTCATTGTCTTCCATTTGAATATAATGAAATATTCTTCAGAAAGATCTTGAAATCTATGAAAATTCCTGTTTTCCCGACTCCCCATACACAACCCTTGGGGTCAGACTGAAAACACAACATATATGTCAAATAGATTTATGTTGTGAATATGATACCAACATTTCAAACAATAATGTATATTACTTTGATTTAAATTGACAGACAGACGGACGGACTGGCTGACTGACGGACGGAAGGCTTCACTATATCCCAACCGAACTTCGAATTCGTTTGAATAATAACCTTTATATATGAAACAGATAAAGTGTATATAGCTAAGGATATTCTTCGATGTAATTTGTAGAAATTTCTATCGATGTTATTTGTAGATTGTAGAGGGGGATGGGAACCATGGGGTGAATGGCATTGTGACTCTTGTAAGAGGACTGGATACGGACGCAATAAACGATGCAGTAAGACATGTACTAAGATAAGGGTGTGCCGACCATGCGGTTATCGTGGCTATAGCCGTGATGATGATGATGATGACGATCGCAGAAAGAGAAACACGAATGACGATGTCGAACTCGTCCGAAGAGACGGAGGAGGAGGGCCGTCATGCGACGGAGATTCCAAAGCTTATAAGACAGTATCATGCTACTGTTAATTTTTGGTCAACTTGAATCAGACGACAGTAAGTATTGTACTCTTGGCTTCCTTTAACAATAGCTTAGTCTTGAATAACAGTGACAAATAAATATATAAACACAATTCCATTAAAATTATGTTGGAAACTTATTGCAAAATATATCTAAAAAGCTAGTTTGGCTTCTTACTTGTATTTATTACTTGTATTTATTGTAGACAGTATAACACTCCACTATACCTTGCATTTGGTGTTGATGAGCAACCCATTTGACTTATCAGGAATGATTATGTTATTTGTTTTTATGTGTCTGTTCCTTATTAATGGTTTATTGGATGACTGTATATAGTGCCAGGAACGCAAATTTTCAAATGATATTTTCTGGAACGAATAGAGTTTTTACAAGGAGGCAATCATTCATGAGAGATGAACTTCATTAACAACATTTTGTTGGATGATGATATAGTTATTCATCAACCTTCCGATGGTTTATCATTTTTAATGATTCATATTTCTTGTAGTGTTTTGATGTCTATATGTTTTAGAACTCCATTCGACGATGACAAACCAGGCCGATATAATGAGTTATCTACAAATTAACCACATTAATTTACTGTTATTTCAAAGAATATTTATTTAATGAATATATTCAGAAGCATACTTATGATTAAAAATTGTATCTGTTTAATTTATTATTGCACCTCTAGTACATTACAACATCAACAAATTGTATTGTTAGTACCTCAGTGTAAATACTCGCATCTGATTGGTCGATTAGCGGTCAACATTTTTGCCTGTACCCCATCTGTGCATCATGGGATATCATATTGTTGACCTCGTATGTTACTGTACTACACTTGTGAATTATGGGGAATATGACGTCATAATGTTTACAGAAAAAAACATGAGAGACGGACATCTTGTAAACGTTGATGAAGGTGATATTTTGACTTTGCTAGACGACAAGAATAGCAAAAATACAAATAGAAACGTAAAATTAACATTAATTTACTAGTGAGTACGCAGTTATGTGCCGAAAACAGAGAGTTTAACCACTGTCTTCAGATTTTCTTAAAAAATTATTGCTGGTGTGGTTCGGAGAAAAGATTGTGAAATGAAGCCATGATTGATGATTGTCGTCTGTATGTGTATTATTAGTTTCTTCTGACTAACAAAACAATTGTAGACCTCTCCATTCGGTCAACCTCGACTGTAAACCTTGAAACTACTGTTGACCTCGACCTTCGGTCTCTGTCAACAGTAGTATCTCGGTTTACAGTCTCGGTATACAATTTTGCCGGTTGACCTCTGAAGAGGTCAACAATTGTATACTATTACCAGAAGTGTACATCATTCATTAAGGTATTGAAAATCCTTAAATTTTGTAAATCAAAAAAATGGTTTCACATATATCACA